GGACACAAAATATTTCTCTATCATCTCAGCTAAGAACATTCCTGTTGAAAAACAACTTAAATCAGTAAACAATATTATTACATTTAAAAAGCACTGCTAAAGTTTTATCCTACAAACATTGTAGAACTTTAAGGATAGGATATTTGAACAGATTTTAGAAATTAGCCATTCAGGTTTTTTTACAAAATCTTTACAGTTTGTTATGCTTTGGAAACCCATAAATCCCAATAGAAATTCTGAAATAATTTGCAGCATAATGAAAAACTGCATCAATAACATACTTAGGTATTAATTTTATGACTACATATGCAAACAGACACACATATACACAACATCAATCTTTTTTAGGACAAACTGATAACTCTTGTATGTAAACTAGCAAATGGTGAGACCAGAAGAATAGCTTTTTGTTTAACTGTAACAAAAAAAAATCTCAGTTAATCTGAAGAAAGATCGCATTTATAGTAGTATTAAAATGCCAAGCAATCAAGTAATGTTATTCAAAGAAAACACGTGTGTTTGAGGAGAACTGCAACTTCTTATTCACACATGAAGTAATGTGACCACAAGATTAGTATTAATGAGACAGCAATTCCAAACATAAACAAACTGATAATAAACAAGCTTCATAGAACTCACTGAAGAGAAGAAGAATTGAGCATTATGTTGTGTGTCTCAAGGCAGAAAAAAAAATATCCTGATTCCATACCAAAATGAGAAAAACAATTTGCATATAAAATATACCATTCAGTTATTTTATGCATAATATGTGATCAGAAGAAAGAAAAATTGTAGTCAGGCTTGCTAGTGACAATATTGAACCAAAATATAAACAGACTTTACATTGCAAAAATGTTTCCATTTCCACAGAATTAGCCATATTATAAAAACAAATTGTTCTTACCTACTATGGAGAGAATGACAACCACAAAATCAAAAATATTCCAGCCTATAGTAAAGTAGTAATGACGAAGTGAGATCAATTTGAGGACACATTCTCCAGTGAAAAGTACAATAAACACCAGGTTAATCCAATATAAGATGTTTTCCATGTCTTCACTTTGATCATCTGTTTCCACCATCATTGTGACCATGTTAAGGCAGATGAGTATCATGATACTGATGTCAAATGCTTGTTTTGTTACAAAATCAAAGACCATGCCTTGGAATTTGTTCTAGGGGGGAAAAAAAATTTTGTTACAATATGCATTTGGTAAAATTTCTTTTTTTGAGATTACTACAAATTATTTAAATCTAGCATGAAGAGCATTTCATGTCTTCCAAGAAGTCCTCCATTTGTATGAGTTTTCCAGATTGTATACATAAACACAAATTAAATAGAAATGCCATGAATGTGTTTATAATCATTAAAGAGATGATTTAAAAACATGCGTGGTGCAGGTTTTTTTAAGTTGTGAAGACATTACCACTCTGAACTGGTTCACTCTAACCTTTTATGACACAGACTATTAAATGAACGTCTAGCTTGTCAAAATTAAAAAAAAACTAAGTGGCAGGTGGATGCGATCAGCCTGAGGGTTAATAGCACTTCATTTGCTAGAAACATAAAATTTTCAAGCTCCGAGTTCAGTGGTTTACATGCTACCATAATAACTTTTAAAACAGTATCTTCATGATGGCTGGACTGGCCGCTGAGCAGGTTCCACAATCCAAAGTAGAACTGCAGAGCTGGAAACCCTTTATGCCTCAGCAAAACCCTGCTCTGCAGTGCTCAGGAGACCAAAACATTGTATGGATTGTGCAACAGGAACGTGAGGGGCAAGAGGACATTTTTTCAGGTAGTAATACAGAAACTTGCCCCTTATAGCAGTTTCAGACTCAGTTTTTGATGTTGGAAAAAGCCTGTGGCCTAAGGCTTTCACATATTTTGACAAATACATTAATACAACATTCAATTGTTCTAGTCAAACCAGTGTTTTGAAAAAACGCCACATAAAATATCATTGCCATCAGCAGAGAAAATGGGGGGGGGAAGGAAAGGGAAGAGTCTTTCATATTCAGACTACAAAAGAGAAGAAAAATGGATTTCAGATGAATAAGGCTTTTATTAAATCACTTTAGCTTATAACTTAATTAATCCTAAAACATAATTGAAACAATCCCATTTTAAAATAAATTAAGAAGTAACAAAAAAAGTTTTTATTCTTACTGCTGGTCGAGGTATAGGCTTTTGTGGTTTCTTTGACCCCAATTTTTTCATTGCATTGTAGTATTTCTTCTGTTCTTCAGTCATAAAGATGTCTTGACCTCCAAAGTAAACCAAAGAGACAAAACCTGGTCATAATCACATATCTCTATGGATTACTTACTAAAAAAGATACTGAATAGGAATAATCACTCTTGTTCACATTCTCATCTGTGGAAAATTTAGGCAAAAAAATCCCCTTTTATCATGATTATTAGTGTTTTGGTAACAGAAGAGTTGCTTTACAACCCCTAGAGTAAATTTTAGAAAAATTTCAGAACCAACATCTATGATGCCAAAGGACTATTAAAAGATATCCAGGACTTTTATCAGAGCTCCCAAACTATGTGTAATGCATAGGAAAGAAAAAAAGAAGAAAAAAAAAATTATCTCCATCTCAATTCATTTCAGGACATGGATCCAACAGCACTTCCACTACTCCAATAACACTTTGCATGGCCAGAGACTTCAAAGTTCTGCAGCTAACACACTGATACCTTTGAGATAGTGTTGACAAATTACGAAGACTGAAGAGAGTACAAATAAAGTAATACAATGTTTATTATTAGAGTTCAGAAATCTACACTGCTGAGCTCTAACACATGAAGGTGCTAGAGCAAAGAGGGTTTATACTTACATGTAGCTATTTCAATGGCTAGTCTTTTTATGAGTCTATTGCAGACTCTAGCCACAAATCTACGTTTTTACAAAGATGACATTGGGTATTTCACTAACCATGGACAGGTACGTGTTGTCACTTGTCCATCAAACCCTCATCAATCCAAATGGTAAGCTTCGATAATTTAATGTATTCAATATGCAGATTACATATTAATTTACCATAAAAATGCACAAATAATTTTTTATGAATGAAGTTATTGTGTGTGGACCAAAAAAAAGCATTTATTTAGCTTTCTTTTCAAAATTATGATGAAGTACTTATCTTCTTTTTCTGCTGGTTGAAATTGTCTATGATGACACCAATGAAAAGGTTCAAGGTAAAGAAAGATCCAAAGATGATAAATATGACAAAGTAAAGATACATATACAGGTTATCTTCATACTTAGGCTGATCCAATACCTGCAAAAAAGGCATCGAAACTAAGCCTCAGTTCAACTGTGAGCACAGAATCAGTTATCTCCTGGATAGAATTTAGGGCTCTGTCACTCTGATATTTGCTTTATATGGTCAGGTTCCCATACACCCATCCCACTAGTCTTCAGTCTATGAAGTTACACCCTCAACAAAGAACTATTAAACGTGATACTTAATTTAAAAAAAAATGTAGATGGCCTATAAGAGCACAGTAATAATGAAGACACAATTGTTTTAAACTAGTATAGTACTATCTGTCTGAGTCTATAGACAACCAGAAACTGCAGCTTGCAAAGCTGCAGACTTTTCTGTATATCTCTTGGGAAGCCCCTGATGTGGGCTTGTGCAACTTTCACTGCTGCTATAGGCAGTTAGGAAACGGCTCTGGATTATGGAAGAGAGGCATCCAAGCCATGCTTAGAGTACAAGCTATGCACATTTACTGTACAGGCCTCCTGCTGTGAGTGGAGCTTACCAAAAAAGCTGGAGCTCTACCAGTAGAGTTTATTCAGTTGTCTACTCAGAACTGGAGAACAACTTGCACGAAGGGAAAGGCAAAAGGGTAAGAAAATGCACAGGCCAAGTCAAGAATAGCAACTATATACTGAAGAGAGGAGTCAGGTGACTTGCAGAGCATAGCGAAAGTCTCAACTTTAAAAAAAGATCAGTTACAAAAAGTCATCTCTAAGCTGTGTATCTGTACCTGTTTCTAAATATTATGCCTCAACGCACATAATGAAAGGAGGAAAAGACATTTCATGACAATAGTTAAATCTGCTGTGGAATTGCAGAATTTTGGTCCAACTGCACCACAGAGAACATGGAAACCTTTAGGATTCTGCTTAATCCTCCTCTGCTTTCTTTTCTTCTTGTATTTTTCCTGTGGTTTCAACTTTATTTACAAAACTATAACTCCTTTCTCTCTCACTTCTACTGTTATTTTTTAAAGATGTCAAAATTACATTCTTAAATCTTGGAGCTCACACAGTCAAAATGAATGAAGTCAAGGGGCTATACTTACATTACGAGAATCCACAGCTGCATACATGATGTCCATCCAGCCTTTAAATGTAGCCTATAAACAGAACACTGGTGTTTACCTCATGCTTTTCCTGGAAAATGGCTTGTCAGAAACCTTGTTTAAGAGCTGAAGACTGTGTCTTTAGTGGTCATCATGAACACCAGCATAGTGAACTGTCAGTAGGTGACTCTTGCCTTCTATTGTATGTGTTATTCATAGAATCATAGAATCCATATATAAGAATTGCAAGCAAATGCTAATATCTGACTATAGAGGACACAGCATCTTTTAAGAACTTTTATCAGTTATTAATATAGATTCAATGCAGCTAAGGTGAATTAGGTTTGAGTTAATTTTTTTCTCATAGTCAGCACAGCCTCTATGGTTTGTATCACTTCTGTAGTCACAGATTTATCTCCCACTTTATAATTCCAAAGCAAGAACTGAACGACAAGACTTTGAAATGAAAGAAACAATGAAAAACTACTTTTTACTGTTAAAAGTAAACAACAGAGATAAAGAGAAAGAGAAATTAAGGAGTGGTGACCTACCACTTGAAGCAGAGAAAGATAACCAAGGCCTACATTATCAAAGTTAACCTTCACATTCTTCCATCGGGCAGTTTCATTGTTTTTTATGAGCTCCTCGCACTGACTATAGTTGTTGATTTGGCTGATATCAAATCTCTCATCAGTTGTAGTATTAACACAGTAGTAAAATTTTCCAGCAAATAGATTTACTCCCATGATGCTGAAGATCAGCCAGAATATAAGGCAAACAAGAAGCACGTTCATAATGGATGGAATTGCTCCTAAAAGGGCATTCACAACCACCTAGAATACAAATGAAACCAAAGAGGTAAGTGTAAGAACACAGACACTGGTCTCTTACAAATGCTTCATCAGCCTTTCTTAAGTATAACACTCTACTTTAATTCTAATAGCTGTGTTACATTTTTTAAAGTGTTGAGAATAACAAGGAAGAGAAGCAGCATATAGAAAGATAAAATGTCAACATAATTATAAGGAAAAAAGAAACACTAGCAAACAGTAGCTTTAAAGAATGGGAAAAGAGGAACAAACAAGTAGAATGAACGAGGAAAAAAAAACAGAAAAAAATCATAATTTATTAATCCTTTTTAGAATATTTACTTAATGTATGTCTGCAAAACCTTATCCATAATATTTCTAATAACTGATTGCATCAAACACAACAAACTTCTTTCTATTACGTGTTTACTGGATAAACAGTCCAAATCAATATCACTGAGCAAATTTTTAATTGAAAGCAATTTTAAGACTTCTTTTAAATAAAAGAAAACTCAGGGATGTATGCGTGTTCATTTGGATGGTTATATATAAAATCAGAAGAGCAGACATGTTCAAACCAGGAAACCAGCAGAGCATCTGAACACAGAAAAGTTTGTAGTGTTCAGGAAGTGGCAGATAAAACTTGAAGAAGGAAGAGTTTTTATTTAATTCCCAAATGAATTTTGGGTAAAATCAGGCTTCAGGAAAGAAAAACATGAAAATGAGATCATGTATGATGATGAATGATGATTAAAAACATGCCAGAAAAAAAAATAGTAAAGAAAATAAAATTAGGGAGAAGGTAGGTCCACTATGAATGAGAATGATTTATTTAACAATGGAATTGACAAAGTGCTAAATTAGTTAACTCCTATGTTAAATCTGTCCATAAGTATAATAATATAAAATTTAATAAATATGGAGCACTGCTGCTGATTTTGCCAAAAAAAAAAAGAATCAGATCCTTAGAAACTAATGAAGATTTTGTTTTTAAAATGCAGGACATGAGGTATTACATAGATTAGATTACTTATAATTAATTTGGTTTATATGAGGTAGGTACTACAATAGATGCTCTAGCATAGCACCATATGTTATTTTTTCCCATTTGAAATACAAATATGTAGCTTAAGCCTGTGAAATATTTTGGCATTACATTTATATCTACAATTAGTAGGTTCCATAGAATCAATTACTTGTAAAATTAGTTATCTGAAAGCAGAGAATGGTGGATAAAGTCCAAAGTTTCTGTGCTTTTTTTTTTTCCCCACATATTTTAAATCATGTGTTGTAAGAAGTATTTATTTCTAATAGGGAAATTAAAAAAAAAAAATGTTTCATACTCATACCAACAAGCTCCTTAGCAATACCTATTATAAATCAATAAGCAAAAACATTATAGCATTTTATCACTCAACAGCCAGGCAGAGAGGATTCCCTGACTAATGGATTAATCTCTTCTGCTTCAGTAGTGCTGTCTTATGTTGTCAGAGATGTAATCTCACCTTTGTCAATGACATGATTGGAAGACCATGAGGAGTAGTGTGACCTAAACAAATGAACAGTTTAATAATAATGCTGAATTAGTTTAACTTAGAAATCCATGCACTCATTGATGTTAGTGGGAAATTTAACTGGAATAATAAATGGTGACACCTTTTTTTCCCCAATTCAGGAGTATTTTCCAAATATATATTAGCTAATGTTTTTATTTAAATTTATCTCAATTCTTCTACTTTAAAATATAAGTAGATTTCTCAAATGTAATAATACCCTCCATCAGGAATAATTATTGAGATATAAAGGGATAGTTAATGAAGTGAAAATATTTGTTCTTGAACTTTCAGTCTCATTATGCCTTAGAAATCTATTCCTCTTTCTACTACAGTTGCAGGTCCAGTCATGTTCTTTCTTTAATGGCTGTAATTTTACAGGTGACATGGGTTCTCTGTTTTCAGTCTGAGTACTGAAGCTATAGCAGGACCAGCTTGTAAATATGAATCATTTGAAGACACTCTGAACATACTGTTGAGCATCACTGAAAACACTGATCCAGACACTTCCTAGATTCCATTGATGGTAAGGGTGTAAGAAAAGAGGACAAGGTCTGACAGCAACTGAAAGTAGGGAAAACATTAGAAAGGCATTAAAAGTGTTGTTTACTGCTTAAAAAAAAAAAGACAGTATGCGCTTAGCACCGTATAGAAGTGAGTGATACTGCTTGGGATAGAGGACGGGCATATTAATTATACTCCCATAGGCTACTTTCTTGAAATCCCAAATGCAAACTAAGGTGTATTTCCTCTAGCAGCAGTAGTGGGAAGATGCAGGGGAAACATATTTTCCACACTGGCAATGTTTTCTATTAATTATTAGTTTGGACAGGCACAAATCCTACTCCTGGAGAATGGTATACAGTGAATCAAAAATGTTAGATGTGTAGAATGGAATTTCTTGCTTGGGTATAGGAAGTAATTTTAAGTGTCTATGTAAATATGTGCACCATACTCATTGCAATATTTTCAGTTCATAGATGTTTAACACGAATGAAATTACTATGTTATGAACAGACATCTTGAATTTCCATGTATCAGACCTTAAAACTTCCTATACTAATTTCTTCACCAACTTGAGCTACTGTATCTTGAAAGATGTTAAGCTTGAAATGAATTATCTAAAGCAAATTTCATTACATTAATAGGAAAATGCCAATGGTTAATTGCCTAATTAATACAAATATCGGTTACATTTCTAGTCTGAAGTTATCTAACTTCATCCACCACTTTTTATATACCATTTGTTAAAGTTGTAAATCCTTCTCTGGGTATTTTACAAAGTTAGCAGATCAGGATCCAATCAGTATGTAAAGATTACATTAACATGGAAGTTATGGCATTGACAGTTACTCATAAACCTTCATGACAAAGTGATTGGTCTTTCCTTGCCACATTAAATTGCCACTTAAGCAATTTACTGTGCATACAAAATTTGTAATATTTTACATTCAGGTCTTTTTTTTTTTTGCTAATCATTCTAATAAAAAATAAACAGCTAATATGTTTTTCAGTAAGATACTACTGAGGTAGTATAGTAAACAGGCCTTGTATATGATATAAACTTCCCAAATTTTCAAATTTGCTTCAGCAAAGTTCCAGAATTTTGTTGGAAGCAAGGAAATGATATTTTCTATCTGAATTTATAACCTTTCATCAAAGTCCATTTCCTTTTTCATTGAAGTCTTTTCCTTTCCACACACAGATCACATTTTTATCAGAAGCTCAACAATTTGTAGTTAACTTATAAATTTGCTAATCCGCTTATAACCTGGGGTGCCAAAGATCAGTGATTGCAGTAAGAAGATCACACAAGGATCCTTTTTAATTACAGCAATAGGGTTTCAGCTTAAGTGTATCTGCTCAAGGTCTATAGCAACATGTCCAAGGCAGACAGATGGACCCTGAAGATGTGAGTCATATATCTTCTTGTGGTTGGAGTGAGAAATAGCTACCATCTCCAGTTGTTGACTGCTGCCCCTAAAAGAAACACTTCTAGAGCTTTCATGTCAGCAGAATACGTAAGGTCTTTGTCTATTTCAGTGCACTAAAGAAGTGATCTAAACTAATCAATTTGACTTTGCACTGGAATAGACTTGAGTCACCAGTCGGGCAGGTGCGGGTCTCAGCTGTGGTAACTGATACAGTGATAACAGATGGGGATAGTAAATTCCCAGATATACCAAACTCTGACAGCAAAAGTCTTTCTGAAATGTTTTCAGGCTGCTTAATGCTCCACAGATTATAATCAACATTTCAAAGTCAGTATGGAAAGCAGTAAGCAACCAATTTAGGCCAGAAATCATAAAACCAGCTCCACCTTTGATATACTAGAGAAGTTGTCTTAAATAGAATGCAATAGTTCTAATCTGAAAGAGAGAAGGTATTTTAACATTGGCCAACTTATTTATCAACACAGCAATTAATTACAAAAAATTTAAATTGTGACAGAAATTCTCAATTAACATGGTTGCGTGTGTATATGTACACAAACTTTTATGAGGAAGTACTGGGTTTTAAAAACTGTTCTGACTATAGCAGGATTTCTTAGTATGGGATAAATTCCATTTTGTAGTACCATTGCATAGATCCCATGCAGTTGATAAATCCTTGGGCCCTGCAGGAAAACATCAAATAGGGTGAAAGGCCAAGGAGCCTAAATAAGTGTAACAATGTGTGCAATAACTCATGAATTCATATAAGCAGAAGAAGCCTTTTGCTTATATGTTAGTGATAAATGTAAAATATATAGGATGATAGTACAGCATTTCTGCATGGATTTGTCATTGATTATTCTGCATGCATTGTTGCTGTGTATGCATGCATCATTTCAGATTCTTTCATGTTGTCTTACCCTCATCCCTTCAAATCGCGACAAGGCTCTTAGAGGTCTCAAAGCTCTTAGTGTCCTAAGGGATTTAATCGCACCAAGTTCTGAGTAGCCCAAGGCATTAGCTGTTAAGCTAACCAAAGAGACCTACACAAAAACAGAAAGGCAATATTGCTCATTCATCTGGTATATCCTTTTGACACATATGGTGGAAGTGATGTGTGCCCTGAACTTCTCGAGAAGATTCAGGGCTGGACCTCTTTCTCCAGGAATCCCTCTATAATACAGAAAGATCTTTCAAGCCAGATAAGGTAGAATAAAAGTATATTCTAGGTACCTGTTGACAAAATCATGTTGGTAGAATGGTATAAAAATGCTTTCTATATTCACATAAACCAGTCAACATTTGGTGGTATTTAAAGAAAAATGAAGTCACATGCAAAAAGAAAACTCCCAAAAGTTGGGTGAATTGGAATGGTCAGTTTAGGTCAGGACTTCCCACAATTTCTTCAGAACTTGATGAGAATGTAAAAGCTCTCAAAAAACACATCCAGTCCTGGCCTTTGGTCAAATGTAACTTTCTAATGTCCAGAAAATCTTATTCAACAGCCATAGCTACTAGTGCTGTTCAAACTTAACCATACTAATCGAGACTGATAAACAACTGTTTGTTAGACAATGGTAGAAGCTTCATTGTTAGGCATATCCACACTTCATTACATTCCCTGTGACTCCTTTAACCACTTCATCAATTCAGGCTTGCATAACACTGGTCTGGTCTGCAGGCAGATGAGTAAGTAAACTAGAATAGCTGCAAAATAAACAATACAATTATCTTTCATCAATAATCCTTAGAAATGTATTTA